CTGATTTTGTTTAACAAACACACAGGAAATCATTAAGTGCTTTCATAGGAAGGTGGACAGCACCTTCAAAGTTACTGTGATTTTTTGTTTTGGAACATTTAATGTGAGACAAAATGTTACACATTCATGGTACTGTCTGAACGGACTTTAAATATCAATAATTCTAAAAAATGAAGAGTGAGCCTTGCATCACTGCTTACAGTTCTCCTTTAAGAAATTCAGTTGCAGCGGGCTTGCATGCTGCTAGTTAAAAACATCCTTAACTGTTAGTAAGTATATCTTTGGCTGTGTTCTTAGTTGGTCACAGAATGCTATGTTTGTTTCTTTAAGGAATAGTATAAAAAGTTTACTGACAAAGATGATATAACATGATTCTTTATGAAATTAACTACTGCCTATACAATTTATATTAAATAATTTAAAGGCTTATGGGATCACTAATTTATTAGTTTTTTTTTTAATTTAGGACAAAGAAATAATTTGCTTTCCCCAGTTGCTTACTCATTGATTTATAAATGGATGGTTGCATGAAATAAAAAAAAACTAACAGGGAAGTTTCATGATCTTAATGCTGAAAGCATCAGCTACAATGTACATTATACCTGGAAATAGATATGGCACAGAAAGTCTCTTATTGTTACTAGAAGATATTGAACTTCTCTCTTGGAGAGTTGCCAACTTTACAAAGTTTGTAAGTTGAATGTGCATTTGGTTCAATTACAGAAGTATGAAGTGCCATTATAATTTATCCAATTTTTCCCCTTTTAATCTCAGGTTATTGAGTTGCTAGTTCATTTCTGCTAAACAGTTTTATCAAATGAAGAAGAAAACCATATTAGGTTAAATTACATAAAATTATGGACTAAGATAAAATCAGGAGACTTAAATAATTTAAATCTATGTAATCTTTAAATGCTATAGGTAGTATTACTTCTATAGAATAGAATCTTTTAATAGTTTTAGCTAAATAATTTGTGAAAATCATTGCTATTTTATGGGGTTATTTAACATGTTTCTTAGCAGCTTCTTTTTATAGTAATAAGGGTGACATACCAGCAGAGCTATTTTTGTAGGAAATTTAAAGAGGAGGGGTGGTGTTTCATTTTGCAGAGTACAAATAACCTTGTAATTAAACTGAAACAAATAATTGCCAAGAAGCAATTATCATTCAATTAAAGAGTAATTACATGGTTATTTGTGCCCTGTAACATAAAGCATTACTGAGATCAGTAATGCAATCAATATTTTAGTGGAAACAGGATGCTGTAATGATGGACCTTTCAACCTATGCTGATTAAATTGTCATCCGAATAACAGTTTACTAGTTAAATCACCACATGTTTATTTGTCTTGATTAATATGTAAATATCTGCCTGATGATAATAAAGTTCTTAAAGATAAGAAGCTTTCCAGGGTCATCTACGAAGATGTGTGATCTTTCCCAACTTTTACACAATTCTACATAGTCCTTCATCATTTTCTCAGGATTATCTTGGAAATGAAATGTAGGATTTTAGAACCATTAATGCCTACTTATATATGATAACTCAGTCTTAAACTATCAATAATATTAATTCTATTGCATATTTTTAGAAATTTACTAATTATGAATTATTTTTACTAACATAATTCGAATTAATTTATTCTAGGTGCTTAAAGCTTGCAAAAAATATTAAAGCCAATGATATCTGTGTGAGATTTTTGTTCAGACACATTTGAACATGTTTATAAAGAAATATTATATCACCATCCTCATTAAAGAGTCAATAAAGATTTAAATAATAGTGCAAACATATATTCATGTAACTAGAATACACATTTTCAAAGACAGAATCTGTTCCATATTCTCACAATATACCAATAGAAAAACATATAATCATATCAAATAATCTTTCCTTTCAAGCTTATATTTTAACCTGTGCATCACTGATACCTAGCACTACCCTAGGCAGTAGATACTTAGCACATATTTGTTTGCTGGTTGACTGAACAAGTGATATTGTTACATATATATGTGACTGCAGGAACATTTAGCCATTAATTAGGTCTTTAAGCATCTTGCATCTCTCAGAGCATAATTCAGTGACCTCTACCATATCCTTCTTTAACATTATATATAGTCAGATTTGAGTAGATTTTGCTCTGGAGCTTATATAATTGCATTAGAGTACAGGATATGAAATAAAATGATGATCTGATGAATAAATGATGGAAATAGCTCTCTGTTCATGTTATTAAGTAGAACAAACAATCTAAACAATATTTGGAAACTGCAGAAACCGAGACATAAATATTTCCCACCTGTCAATTAATGGGTTTAATTAACCATTTACTGGGCATCCTGTATGCTACAAACCATAAGAATTGCTTAAGATTCAGTGACATATACCTCTAGATATTTATATGCCTTCATGGAGCTCACTCTCCAGTTTGTGTGACTCACAATTAATCATATTAATATAAATTAGAATTTAGAAGTATACAAGAATGGAGAATATGATCCCCTGTAGTTTATATCCATGTGTATTATATGTGACATAAGGCATGGATTCTCCAGTACCCATCTAAATTTTAGAATTCAACATGGAACCACTAAACCAAGAGTCCTCTAGTATCTTTTAACTTATTTGAAAAGAATTATTTTTAATAAGGAGGATTCACGTCCACGCATGCACACCCGTGTGTGCTCTCTCTCTCTCTCTCTCTCTCTCTCTCTCTCTCTCTCTCTCTCTCTCTCTCTCTCACACACACACACACACACACACACACACACACACACACAAACAACTAGTTAAACTAGATAGCTTTCAAAAATCATCTGTTAATATTTGGATTTCATATGGCTCCTCATATGGAATTTGAAAGGGTATCAGGTTTCATACTTCTGCAGCAGACAGTGTGAGGAGTGATTATTATGAGGACGGAGGAAGCCCCGAAACACACAGGAAAAGTACAAAGAGTAGGCAGGTGGATTTAAATAGGAGGCTTGAGCTCTGAGCAATACAAGATACAATAAAGCACTTAGAATGTTTAGATTTGATGACTGTTATTTAAAAAAATAATTTATCTTCATTAAGTGACTATATACCTTGATAAATACTTTTATCTGATCCTGGGCCCCCAAATGATATTTGAAGTAAATAATATGTTTCCCTTTCAGCACCCTTAGAAGATCTAAGAAGACATAAGATGGGCAAGGGCAAACAGGGCAACGAGACTGGATTAAATAAAATAAATCATTACCCAGAATTGAATAGAAAGTAAAAGAGAGAAAGTTTAAAAAATTGAAACATTAAATAAGAAAATCAATTTTTCTTTCTAGAATGATATACAATATTGATGTATAATGGCAAAAAATAATGCGAGCACAATTTGTGAAAAAATGAGCTTGGTAATAGTACCTCTGTGTAAAGTTGCTAGAAGTTATTCTCATTGAAAAGCAGAGTTTGTATTACATTGATGGGACACTTTACTACTGCAAAGTTGATAGAATGTAGTTTAACATACCTCTTTTTGAACCAAAAGTCATTTTTGGAAAAGTTGTTTACCTGAACATCATACATTTTTTAATGATCACTTTATTTAACATAGTATTTTGTCAAAAGTCCTTTTATTCTTCTATATGAAATGCATTTCTATTAAAAGGCAGCAAAGCGTCTTATACAAGCTTAAAAGTATGATGTAAAATATGGGGCTTGCAAGATGATTCAGTAGATAAAAGCACTTGCTGCTAAAACTAAGGACCTGTGTTCGATCTCCAGCACCCAAATGGTAAAAGGAGAGAAGTGACTCCCACAAGTTGTCCTCTGACCTCATTCATGCTGTGACATGTACCACTGCAACAGCAATAAATAAATAAATTTAATAGAATAAAGTATATAGTAACTTGAGAATGACTTTATTCAAATATTCTGTGGTTCATAGATCTGCATATTGTGGCACCCTCCAAATGATTTTAGTATACTATATCAGGGAATGAAATAGTGAAAACAGATATACATATTTTTATTTTCTGTGATTGCAATTTATTTTTCTCCCCCAAGCCTTTGTACTCATGATTGAACTTGGGACTGTATGCATGTAAAGCAGGCTTTCTATCATTCAGCTACACTCACAGCTTCTGAAATTGTCATTTCTGAACTTTTTTTTTTTACTAGAGTTAAGAATGTGTAAATGCAATAGTTTAGGTTAATACTTCAAGTTTTGATTCATCTGAAATATATGGGCAGTGAAAATAGGACTTTATGGTTTTAAAACAAAGAGGACACAAAGTTGGGTGGTTATGGAAGGGGAAGTGGTGGGGGAGGAGTGAATATGATACTTTATATAAAATTTTCAATGGACCAATAAAAATGTGTGAATAAATATTTGATTTGAGAAAAAGACAATGTACATGTCAAATTTTCTTAGTTATAGCCAATCCAAAAGAGGCAGAACTAAAATGATATAGGCAAATTTTCTTAGTTATAGTCAATCCAAAAGAGGCAGAACTAAAATGATGTACTTGGAATGAGTTTTCTTTGTTCCTCATGGGTTTGCAGTAGCTGCAGAAATGATAATAAACATTATGGTTTATTTTACTTCTCACAGGTCTTTACACCTTTCCTCTGGTATGTTGAGTAGGGTCTTATACTGTACAATTTTGTGTAGTCTGAATTCTGTGACTTACTGTCTCAGGCCTTAGTTGCAAATATTGATACCAGGGATCACATAGCTTTAAGGGCAAGGAGTAACTTAGGAATTATTCACAACAGGTGGTTTGTGTGCAAAGTACTGGCTTACTAATGAAATCTAAACTGCAAATTGATCCTTGGTGGCTTTAATATTAGCCATAGGTACATTGTAAAATTTATTGTAAAATGTTGGTATTTCTTATTAACCCATGACAGTACATAGTCTCTACTCTAAAGTTCTATTTATTCTTAACAATTAAATAAGATCTAGAAAGCAAATGTATCAAGTAATGTTACTGAGTTTGACCTTTGTTTGTTTTCCAACAGTTCCAGACCTGGCAGGCCTCCTAAGCGTTCTCTGGGAGTGTTGCAAGACAATGCCCGCCTTCTGCCCCATGCAGTTCCAGGCCTCTTATCACCAGGACTTATCACTCCAACAGGTAATGAGATCCATCTGATGATCAGCCTTGTCTCTTCTTACTACCCAAAGTTTAAAACAAACTAATATTGATGTAAGTGCCTTGTCCTTCAAAGCTTTTCACGCTCTCCTAGAGACTGCATTATTGAATATTTTTGAGTATTCAGGCAAACACGATTTTGTTAAAAAAAAATCAATGACACAAAGTAAATGGATATGATTTTCTAAATGGCATATCCTTATAAGAAATCTCTTTCTGTGTGTATATTGTGTGCTGGGAGAAAAGATGTGGAATGAATAAATTTGCATCATCTGAAACCTTCCTGTGAGATGCTTACCTTATATAGCCCACCATCTTGTGAGCATCTGTGTATACTGTCAAAGTTACTATACCAGCTTAAGAAGGTGGAAAGAAAATGCATCCTCTGAAGAACAATAGTATATTAGTAGTAACATTGTGGGTGATCATTGCCCTGAATAATTTTTTTTAAAGCATTGAAGTAAACTACTAATAATGCTAATTTTATAAATTATCATTGAACCCCTTTGATATTCCAAAAGTGCCCATGAGCAAAAAAATAAAAAAACAAAAAAAACACTTGAAAAATTAGCCTAATCATTCTCTAATAGAAACAAAAATGTTTAAAACTATTATACCAAGGAAAACAAATTTAATGAAATACATTATCTATCTATCTATTTATCTATCTATCTATGTATCACCTATATCTATCATCTATCAATAACAAAGTTATAAAGCACTTACATTGTTTGGATTTTAATACCTTAGAAAAGGGACAAATATATGAGTCATCTTAGTCTTGGTCATCTTAGAATTAAAGAGAAAAGATATAATAATATAATAAAAATCATATTAGAGCATGATAGATACCATAATGCTACTTTAAAGTGGCATAAACTCATAAACATAGAAGCAGATATATCAGTTTGGTAAACTGGGTAATGATCATAACGATTGACTCTTTACATCTGTATTTTGTAGACTTAGTGTTGGAGGTGGAGAATCAGGGGATGACACTCCAGGCATAGAGAAGCTCAGAAGAGTTGAGAAAGTGCTTATTGTCACAGGGGGAATAGCAAAGCAATTAAGGAGAATAAAGCAGAGATTTGAGGTGGAAGGCTTCTAACTGATGTGCTTTGAATAGAAAATTAAGAAAATAATTGACAGTTGATGAAAGTAGCATTTGATTTACGATGTTAAGTAATTTCTCTTTTCCTATGGACCAGACATTTCAGAACTCTTCTTTTCTTTTCTTTTCTTTTCTCTTTTCTTTCTTTTTTTATGGCTTACATGAAAGTGTGCAAAGAGTTCAGGCTTCACACTTGTGTCTCAGAGTCTCATGTGTTCTATGTGTACCATTTTATTTTTTGTTAAAATGTTTTACTATTAAAGGGACCATTACTAAAGAACCGAGTATATGTTTTAAAATCAGTTGGTGTGGAGGATAGATAAAAATGAAACTAATGGTACAAAGGATGAACAGTTGTTTCCATTGTAGAGATATATGCTAAGCATCTGAAAGAAGACACATTCGGTTCAGTGGAAAATAAGTTCCAATGTGATATATTAATAAGAATTTGTTATTTGATAATAACTGAATGTAGATGTGGAGCTAGTAGAGTAAGATGATTAATGTTCAGTTTGGGCAATAGGTTGGATGATGGCGTCATTGGCTAAGAAAGAATTTAGGAATATATTCATGCTTTGGAAAAATGATAGTAACTTTGAGGACTTAAAATATTTATAAATAATATAATATACATGCAAATTCTTATATTAATAAAAGTTGTCTTGTACACATAGCCACATACAGAACATAAAATAGTTTCTGGACTATATCTTGACACTCAACAGATAATCTGTATCTGGACTTCTAAAATACATTAAGTATGCCTGAAAGCAGTACTATATAAATTATCTAGTCTGACTGCAGATTTTTAGACAATTTGGAGATGAAAAAATGATTTTAAAATACCTTGAAGCTAATTCACTATTGAGTAAACATTAGTAGCTTATCTATTTTGGGGAAAGCTCTAATGCATATTAAGTTCCTATAGTGCTAAATGTTTCATATACACTTCAATTCATCTTTTTAGTAATCTTATGGACATTGCCTTCTTTCAAGTGTGGCTCTGTGAGCTTAAATTCAGCCTATAAAGTAAGTGAGTGGCAGAGTTGTATTTAAGCCCAAGCCTTTTAAAATTCTAGAGATCCAAAGTCCTTTGGCATATATTATTTACCTTCTGTGTGATAATGGAGCCTCCAAGTTTTATTGGAAAATTATGTTTTCTCCCTACAATTCTATTGTCCTTGGCTTATGCCTAGACTGGGATGATGGAAGTCTCAGGGCATGAATATGGAAACACAAAAGAAAACTGTAGAGCACACAAATAGGAAAATACAGTTCAGAGGAAGATCAAGGAATCTTCAGACTTCCAGAGGGATATGCTTCTTATTTTGTATAATATTTGTAAAATATTCATATGCCTAAGAATATTTTTCTTCCATAGGCAAATGTTAGAAAAAATGTTTTACAAGGTCAATTACAAATAATTTTGGGATTATATTTTATTTTGAATTATATAAACCATTTTCTCTTTCACTAGGATTGGTAAATGTTATAGAATCAGCTTTTAACTTCACTATTAGTAAATTTTATGTTTGAACATATCTACCCAGCTTAAATATCATAAATTTGATTTTAAAGTATTTTTGAAAAATTCAGATGATTTTTATTTTTCATTTGACTTTTGATTTTATTTTTGAGATTATACTATAATTACATCATTTCTCCTTTCCCTTTTCTCCCTCCAAACTCTCTCATATACGGTTCCTTGCTCTCTTTCAAATTCATGGCCTCTCTTTTCTTAAATTGTTGTTATATCTGTGTGTGTATGTGTGAGTGTGTGTGTATTGCTTTCTTTCAAAATCATTGTCTCTCTTTTTATTAATTGTTGTCACACACACACACACACACACACACACACACACACACACACACACATCATACTCAGCCTATATAGTGTAACAAGTATTTATGTTTTCATGGCTGAACATTTGGTATTGGATAGCCAACTGGTGCGCTCTTCCCTGGAGAAGACTATTTCTCCTCCTCTCAACATTCTTTAGTTGCCTGTGGATTTTTGTGTAGGTTTGAGACCTGTTGGACTTTCCCAGTCCACATTCAGATATCTATGGTTGTTGCCCTTGTTCAGCTCATGTGCTAAGCAGTCATGTTGGTGAGACCTTATAGGTGTAGCTTCTGACATTATTAAGAAATACAATTTCACAGCATACTCTCTGATACTCTAGCTCTTAGAGTCTTTTTTTTTTTTTTTTGGTTTTTTGAGACAAGGTTTCTCTGTAGTTTTGGTGCCTGTCCTGGATTTCACTCTGTAGACCAGGCTGGCCTCGAACTCACAGAACTCCGCCTGACTCTGCCTCCTGTGTGCTGGGATTAAAGGTGTGCACCATGGCAGCCCGACTCTTACAGTCTTTCTACCCCTTCTACTATAATGTTCCTTGAGCCTTAGGTGCACTAATGTTTTCTAGTTATATCCATTGGGACTGGGCTCCACAAATCAGCATCTTAATTGCTTGTGGTTTCCTTGATATTAGTGTGGCTATTACATTTTCCTTCCACTACTCTCTGATCTTTTTAAAATATTGTGAAATACTTTCTTGTTTCTGGTTCTTTTATCTCTAAATATTTTTTATTTCGATCCAACATTATATATCCATGTACAAATTTACACACAATTAAAATGTTATTTATTTTTACCTACTGCTTTGGTGTCATATGTTGCTAGCAGTATTTTAAGCTCTGCTATGTTTACTTCGGGAACAGATTTTGTATTGCATTTATTTGTATTATTATTTTCTAAATTTATAATATTAAACTGCATTTTAAAATACATACAAGAATGATAATTATAATCATGTCTGCTTTCAGATATTGTAATTTTTAGTCATGAGTTTGTTTAAAGTAGTTACATAATAGGAATATTTGTAAAAAAATAAGAACTTTTTAAGACATAATTATTAGATTTGATTTACTTAAAAATAATTTTTGGAATTTGCTTGGCATATAAATCTTTAAAGATGGGTGTAATACAAGATAAGTTGTACTTCTTTATTTGCATAATATGACATAATATTGTCTATTGTATGTGAATTTCTTTTGTTTCTGTGATTTATACTTGTCTTTTAATTTAAGGATGCTTATTTCCTCTGGGTTATATTTCCCATAAATAAGAAAGTTGATTAATTTAAACTTTAACTTGTTCAGATTTTATAATAATTTAGGTAATGACTATGCTGAGGTATCTATTACTAATAAAACTATCTTATTTAATTTACCAAATTGAATATTTAAAATAATTTTTGTGTGTGAGAGAAAATGTATATAGACATAGTACAGTGCTTGGAGTTTAGCTGGGCACTCTGACATGCACCTGCAATTTCAATATTTGAGATGATGCGAGGGACAAATTTTGCCATGCATTTGGGCCAGCTTGGGGTACAGAATGACTATCTTGCCACCTTACACTATGTAAAGAGAGTCTTTTAAAATATACTTGAAATGGAAAGTACTATGTACCTAAAATCATTTTAGCAAAATATTTAATAAAAATTGTCAGCATGTAATTACTGAAGATTGGTCTTTGTGCGTGAACATAGAATCCAAGGTTTATTCTTTTTTATATTATTTTTATTACTTTTTTAACCAGAAAAAATATTATTTGCTTCTTTTTAAAGTTTATGTCTCATACAATACATACCAACCACACCCTCCCTTCCCTTCTCTCTTCCCAGTCCCCCCTGTCACCTCTCTTCCTCCCCCAGATTCACTGCTCATCCATTTCCCATTAGAAAAGAGCAGGCCTCCCAGGGATACCAACAGACATATCAAAACAAGATGCAATAAAACTAGGCACAAACCCTCATTTCAAGCCTGAATGAGACAATACAGTAGGAGGAAAAGGGTCTCAAGAGCAGCC